CGCTCTCGCCGCCTTCTCTGCCACCGAAAGCTCTGTCCAAGGTACATGCCCATTATCGTTGAACGGTGTCACTGCTCTTCGCTTCGATTTGGAGCCTTGAGGCGCTGCTCCTAAGCCTTGTTGTGTCGCATAGTATCTCGAGACATGGAAAGGTCGAAGTGTTGATGGGACGCCCCGGAAGGCTATTGATCCGGTCGCGATGAGATTTGTCGTCGTCGGTTTCATCCTGGCGATTCGACAATAGCCATTGTATAAAGACAATTGCCTTGACTGATTGATTGCGAGTCAGCTAAACTGTGTGATCGAGCTACAGAAGCTCCAAGTTGCAGCGTTATTGCGGCTCCACCGCCGGGCAGAATTCGAGGTGGGGTTGCCAGTCGTGACCAAAACAGGACTAGCGTCTGTCGATATGCCACCTTATCGACAACTGCCCTTGACTACACTTCTCCTTAATTCTCGACTCTGTCTTGTCCTGTCTTGTCTTAGCAATACGAAATAAACCCCCCCCAAATCCAATTCTGTCCTGTCTTTGACACGTCGCAAATACGCCAGGATATAACTCTCCTTTTTGCGGTGACGAGACCTCTTCTGTTGCTGCCTTTCTGTGTCACCTCTATACTCCCGCCTTATTACGGCCTAATAGTCAAGATGAGCGCCCTTGCTTCAAAGCAGCAGTCGCTCAAGATCTTTGAGAAGTTAAAGACTAAGCCTGCGAACAAGGTATGCACCCATTGGTTGTTTCTGCGCATTCAGCAAAGACGTTAGCTGACCATTGCGCCTACTATCAGATCTGCTTCGACTGCGGCCAGAAGAACCCAACATGGACATCCGTCCCCTTTGGCATCTACCTCTGCCTTGACTGCTCCTCCAACCACCGAAACCTTGGTGTCCATATCTCATTTGTGCGATCAACGAACCTCGACCGTACGTAGGCTCCAGCAGCATATTCACTTCCCTTATATGATTGACTTTCAGTGCTGACGAGTTGGGACAGAGTGGCAATGGGACCAGCTCCGAGTCATGAAGGTTGGCGGTAACGAATCTGCCACCAAGTTCTTCCAGCAGAATGGCGGTACTGCGGCGCTCAACAGTAAGGATCCTAAGACGAAATACCAGTCCAACGCCGCCACCAAATACAAGGATGAGCTCAAGCGCCGCGCTGCGCGAGATGCTCAGGAGTATGTTTCTACGTCGCAAATGATACCCCTGTTCTCAGCTGACATGTGTCTAGATACCCTAATGAGGTTGTTATCACTGATGCTACCGACGACGGCGCCGCTACCCCTGCTGGCGAGCCCGACGACGACTTCTTCTCTTCCTGGGACAAGCCCGCTATCAAGCGACCTACTCCTCCTGTCTCTCGCACCGGAACCCCCCCTGTCGTCGGCCGCACTCCCTCTCCCTTCCTGAACTCGGGTAACGGCAAGGATATCGCTCGTACAGCTTCACCTCTGTCCCGATCTTCCACTGGCGACAACAAGCCCGCCAGCCGAATTACTACTTCCGCCGCTCTGCGCAAGACGACCACTTCCACCGGTCCCCGAAAAGCCAACGTTCTCGGTGCTAAGAAGACTACTAAGCTGGGCGCAAAGAAGGTCACTAGCGATGTGATTGACTTTGACGAGGCGGAGCGCAAAGCTAAGGAAGAGGCTGACCGAATTGCGAAGCTCGGTTACGACCCTGATGCTGAGGAGGACCCCGCAACCAAGAATGCCTCTGGATCCGGTGCTGCCATCATCTCCCCCACTCCCGTTAGCCCCAGCCGCGGCACAAGTTCATCGCATACTCGCCAGAAGTCTGACGCGGAAGTTGAGCGATTGGGCATGGGCATGGGCCGACTGGGATTCGGACAGATTGGTGGTCCCAAGGCTGCTGCTGCCCCTAAGAAGAACGCCGGAGGCTTTGGTTCCGTTGGACCTGTCAAGGCCGCTGCTGTTGGTAAGTCTTGGGAAAAAAGACAAAGACATGAAACGATTCTAATTCGATGGTAGATGACTCAGAGCGATATGCTCGCGACAAGTTCGGTACGCAGAAGGGCATCTCATCCGACGAGTTCTTCGGAAAGGGTGCCTATGACCCCAACTCTCAGGCTGAGGCCAAGACCCGACTCCAAGGCTTCGAGGGGGCGACCGCCATTTCATCAAATGCCTACTTCGGCCGACCAGAGGATGAGCCGGAGGAGGAATACGGCGATCTCGAGTCTGCCGCCAAGGACTTTGTGCGCAAGTTTGGTATCACAGCTGGTGATGATCTCGAGAACCTCACACAAATGGCCGGCGAGGTGTCTTCACGACTCCAGGGAGCCATTCGATCATACCTTGGGAACTAGACGGACTTTGCCCTTCCATTGGTTCGAGGTTTAGTTGTGTGTGACTGTTTCTCAAGCTGAGGAGCGTCCTGTCGGTGAAAAGGCAGCAGATGAGAAGAACAACCAAAAGAGGCGTGCGCCTGTTCGATTATCACTATCGAGCGAGAATTGGTGCACGGAGAAGATGCTCTTTGGCATGAATCTGGGGTCGGGATGCTTTTTGGAGCTGGCGTACATGTGAAGTCAAAGTTGACTGCTTGGTTACTCGAAGTATGAAATAGATTTGATGTTTTCCTAGTTTATGAAATCAAAAACGTATCCTTTTGGTTCATTGTGGTGGTTCATGCATCGAAGAGAGTAGAGAGACCTTTACAAAGAAAGACACATAGATAACTGTTCGAGGAGACGTTATGAGGAATGCTAATCCAATTCAATTGAGGCTGTTGGTAAATCCAAGCAAACTATGCTCGTAGTCTACAAATATACTATTAAAAAAAATCAAGGATAAATGACAAGACATGGTATCTTATAGGTTCTTTACAGCTTGGCAATCATCTTGTTGCCCCTTTGCAACCAGGCAACGGCGTCGTCTACGAACTCATCCACGACAGCCTTAGCAGGCTTCTGCTCGTTGACAACAGCAGCGCACTTGCCCATGAGGTAAGGTCGGTACTTGTCCAACAGATCCTCATCGTCATCGCTATCGTTATCACTGGCAGCCTCGGCAAGCTTGTCGAGGTCAGCCTCGTAGGGGATAACACCCTTGGCGACAAGCTCCTTAATCTCGGCCTGACGGTTGACCTCCCAGTCATTGATGTAGTCGTTGTTACGGACACGCATGGGACGGCCAGTCCAGATGATGGTGCGGATGTTGTCGTCGTGGCCAGATGTGCGGACGGCCTCCTTGTGAGCCTTGGGGGCACCAGCCTCATCAGTGAGGATGAATCGAGTTCCGACCCAGACAGCGCCAGCACCCATCATGAGCGAAGCAGCGAGGAGCTGACCGTTGTGAATACCACCAGCAGCGATGACCTGGACGGGGCCGCCGGTGAGAGGAGACTTGTGTTTCTTGCAGATGTCGACAACAGCGGGGATGAGGACGGTTGTGGGGATATCGCCAGTGTGGCCACCACCCTCACCACCCTGAGCGCAAATGATATCAACGCCGAGGTCAAGGCACTTCTGGACGTGCTTGACGTGGCCGATCATGTTCATGTAAACAATGCCATTGGCGTGGAGCTTGTCGACGACAGCCTTGGGGGGGACACCGACGGCAGAGACGAAAAGCTTAGCGCCCTCCTCGATGATAATGTCGACGAGCTCGTTGAGCTTACCCTTGGTGTAATCGTAGCTGGGAAGTCATATGTCAGCGCTTTGTTCGTCACTAGTGAGATCTGCATGTGATGGCAAAATCTCAAGGCCGAGGGCCCCGAATTTGGGGAGTCCGGACTTACTTGGTCTTGCGAGCACTGCCGCCGACCTGGGGAAGGAGCAGATCAACACCGAAGGGAGCTTTCTTGTCGTTGAGGTAGCCCTTGAGCTCAGCGATTTGCTCGCGCAGCATGTCAGGAGTGTATCCGACACCACCAATAACACCGAGACCACCAGCGTTGGAGACAGCGGCAGCGAGCTTAGGGCCGGCGGCAACGTTCATGCCCGCGAGGAGGACAGGGTGTTGGATCTTGAAAAGATCGGTGATAGGGGTTCGGAGCTTCTCTGTGAGGGAGCATGGATGTTAGCGATCGTTGAGGAATCTGGAGATTGTGATGGTGACGTACGTGGTGAGGCCATGTTGTCTGCTTGTCTGTTTGTCCTGTCTAGATGATGCTAAAGTGTCGCGTCTGGAGAGAATTGACTTGTTGCTTCTGGTAGTGGAATTAGGATAAAGAAGCGGGAGAATCGAGAGATGGGGAAGAAATCCGGGGTATAAAAAGAATCAGCAGATAGAGGAGGGGGTTTCGCAGGGAAAGAGGTTAGAAGCACGGTTCGCGATGGCAGGAACCAGGAAGGAGGGACCACATGCCGAGGTCTAGTCTCTAGAGTCTCGTCTCAGCCTGAGCAGGAAGTGTGTGGAGTAGGAGCAGTTCCCGCATTGGGGATAGTGTCACTTTGAATCCGGGGAAGATGCCTCGGGACGAAAGAGGAGAAGCTGCTAATAATTCTGAAATGGAGTGGAAATGGCCTGACTGTTAGCAACGGAACTCGGTAAAGCCGAAGCACCTGCTAAAATGATTGTGCTGTTCTTTTTTGTTCTCAAACGTACCCAAAATGGAAAACTTAGTAATCTATTGAGGTCGGAGTCTCTGACATGTGCTCGGTGCTAACGGCAGAAACAGTCAGCAGAGACCAAGACTCAAAAGACCCCGTGACATGAATCATGACGACCGCCTCACATGGGAAATCAATGCATCTCATCCCCGTACAGTCAGCTCGGAAATGCAGGAGCTCAACCGCGTAGCCCTATGCCGCTCTCGTCAGCTTATCTTCTCCGCCAAAAAGTATCGCCAAATCCGCTACAGCCTCATACCTAAGGTGCTCAGCCTTTCGGAATTCAACAGCTGTTAGCACCGTTGAAGACACTAATCCCACCCCTAGTGTCTCGTTAACGCAAATTTTCTCGGCCTCAATTCTCCGAACTCACTCAACAACATGTCCTGAATCATCAGTTATGTAGCAAGAAGCACCACTCATAATGAGACAACGTCTTCTCTCGTCGCGATTGCTCGTTCAGAGCCTCAGAAGCAACGGCAACAATGCTTCTCCCGGCTCTGTTCTGGCTTTCGCCACTGCATCGCGATGTTTGTTGACGTCAACAAGGCCTCACCAGCGGTCTTATGTGCATCATGCGCGCCTTCGCCCTCTTGTGAGATGCAACATGCCTGAGCTTAAGCGCAATGCCTGTGGATGTGCTTGCGCGAGTGGAGGTGGCTGTGGGAGCAGCGGACCGCAAAAGAAGACGGCATATATCGCTCTTGGAAGCAATATGGGAGACAGAGTTGCTGAGATTGAGCGAGCATGCAATGAGATGGACCGCCGAGGAATCAGAGTCAAGAGGACCAGTAGCCTCTGGGAGACAGAGCCCATGTATGTTACCGACCAGGATCGCTTTGTCAACGGCGCTTGTGAGGTATGTATATCAAAAACGTCCGTTCGCGTTCCCGGGCTGACGAATCCACTAGGTCGAGACAGAGCTTGAGCCCATAGCTCTTCTAGATCAACTGCAAGCCATTGAGGATGACATGGGGCGAAAGAAGGTCATCGACAAGGGTCCGCGTAACATTGATTTGGACATACTTCTGTACGGCGACGAAAAGGTTGACCATGAGCGGCTCAAGGTTCCCCATGTCGGCATATTGGAGCGAGAGTTTGTTCTCAGACCACTGGCCGAGTACGTTGCACAGAAAAACACAATCGAGGTATTCTAACGGCAAGTTGCAGACTCATTCCGGCAAAATCATTGGACCCGACGAAACCGTGGAAGCTCATTCAGGATAATCTAAATGAGCTGCCCCTTGGCGAGCCATTGTCTTCCATGACACCGCTTTCTTCGACGGCAGGTTCTTTGACGCCTCTTGCTGCAAAGCGCAAGACCCATGTCATGGGCATTCTCAACTTGACGCCGGATTCGTTTTCAGATGGTGGCTTTCACGATCGAGATAACCTTGCCCAGACCATTATGAATATGGTCAATAACGGAACTTCGATTATTGATGTTGGCGGCCAGTCAACTGCTCCTGGTCGACCAGAAGTATCAGCTGAGGAAGAGGCATCTCGAGTTGTGCCTGCCGTCCAACTTATTCGATCGCTTCCTGAAGCTCGTGACGTGGCTATTAGCGTTGACACGTATCGTGCATCCGTTGCTGAGGAAGCTATTGCCAGTGGAGCAGATATAATCAACGATGTTTCGGCAGGTCTGCTGGACCCAGATATGCTTTCTACCGTCGGCCGTCTGGAGAAAACGATATGTCTGATGCATATGCGCGGGACGCCGCAGACCATGACAAAGTTGACCTCGTATCCAGACGGACTGATTCCCACAATAGCATCTGAGCTTCTCGAGCGCGTAGCAGCGGCCGAGGCAGCGGGTATCCGGCGGTGGCGGATGATTCTGGACCCGGGTATCGGCTTCGCCAAGACGGGAGAGCAGAACCTCGAGATTCTTCGACGGCTGGAGGAGCTGCGATACTGGCCGGGGCTTCAGGGTTTGCCGTGGCTTGTTGGCTCGAGCCGGAAGACATTTGTCGGCAAGATCACAGGAGTCACGGAGCCGAAGCAACGGACGTGGGGCACGGCGGCGACGGTGGCAGCGGCGGTTCAGGGCGGTGCGGACATAGTGAGGGTACACGACACGCAGGAGATGGGCATGGTGGCCAAGATGGCTGATGCCATCTGGAGGGTATGAGACTATGAGTACGAAGAAAGAGTGAAGTTTGGCTGTCTACGGTGTTGTATTGAATATGCATGAATATATGCGTAGATGGAAGAGACAAGATCGAAATGGAAATACATATGCAGAAAGGAGGCATCTAGATTTAATTTAACCAGTGGTCAATGTCTTTTGATGTCAATCTTTTTCACTTTCCATTTATAACCAGCATCGTTATGATTTTTCCAAACCGAGACCCAAAATCACATCACATCATTATGGCTTGACTCGTGAACCGAGAGTCGCATTGATTTATCTCACGTTAGACAGACAGACAGACAAGACAGTCTGTCATATATCAGAATCTCGCGTCCTTGCGAGTCACACCACCCTAGACCATGTTCTGGTCCTGACCCCGGCCAATTTCAAATCCCTTGTAGGGTCTGCCCTCTCGTAGCCTCTATTTCCAAACCGGCGCCCGAGGAAGGCCTCATGAGTGGGGACAAAGTGGCCAAGGGAGGCAGGGATGCGTCACCGGTGAAAAGACCTGCATGAGCCTCAAATCTAGGGTTGGGCGGCTTTTCTCTTGGCGCTGATTAGTAGAGACAGTGAGACATACTCCGTACAAGAGAGAAAAAAGCAAAAGAAGCAAGTAAAAAAGTGCCTGGGGGCTGTCTCACCAAATTGACATGTCCCTTTTTTCCTTGGTCTCTTTTTCTTTTTTTATATGTAAATCGAGCGAGCATTAGCGCATCGAATGTGCCAAGCCTGCGTCATCGCCGGAGAAGGAAAAGAAGTTCGTTTACTGAAGATTGCGTGTTAGTTAGTACTTAGGTACCGTAAGTGAGAACATTATAATAAAAGGTCTCGGCTGAAAAGAGGGGGGCAGGATTAGAATTTCTAGGTAAGATAGATAGTAGCGAGATCAAAAGCCGAAAAGGCGAGAGGACAATATAAATTAATTAACTAAAAAAAATTAAAAATTTCGTATCTTGAAATCTTGGCCCTGACTAAACTCGCGACTTCGTCTTGTTCCTCGGCCTTTGGCGCTCTCTGATTCTCCCGCCTGTTTGTCTATCTGTATGTGATTGGCCGTGAGTGAGAATATATGCATGCATGTGTTAGATTCCCAGTCCAGATGTTACTCACATTTCAGCTGCTGTGTAACCCCGGGGAGATGGAGGCTGCAGAAACCACCCGCCCTCAGCCGACAATGCCTACGTAGGAGGGTGTCGAGGTGTCAACAAAGAGAGGCCCCGACCGGGTACTCGGTGACATGGAGGTGAGGGGTTGAATGCATTGAAAAACAAAGTACATGTACATTTCATATAGCCTGTAGAGTAGGTAGGTATCTTGGTGTCTTGCGCTGATGCACCGCAGAGAGACAACTCACGACTTATAGGCTATCTAAGTATCTAGGTAGGTAGGTAGGTACTGAGGTGTTCACCCATAACGCGCATGGGCTTGATCCATCTCTTCTACCTACTGTATCCGTCCGTACTCTCAGTTAGTAGTAGCCTGCCTACCTGTCTGCTTGTCTCTCGTAACCCCAAAGGCCCAAAGCCAAAGCTTACACCAACCAATGCGAGAAATACATGCTTGCAGCAGGGTTCTTCAGACAAGGTTCACTAACCTGATCGCTTCCATCGACAGATATCTCCGGGGCCCTTGTCCGCTGTCCACTGTGACTCTACTGTTGTGTTGCACGTGTACTGTATCCATACCCTGTCCTGTCCTGTCCTGTCCTGTCCCGTCCCGTCTTCTCCTGTTTGATTTTCTACCAACGAGTCCGGGCCAACATTCTACCAACACTGGGTCAAAACATCGCTCTCCTCTCTCTTGACCCGATAAACAACACGCAGTTTGTCTCATTCGTATCTGCAGCATCTAATTCAATTGTCTTTCGCAATATGTAATTAAATCTCCGAGCCGCTTTGGTCTCCACTCTGCGATCCAGAACCTCACGATACATAGACTACATACCTCACTTTACTTTCTTAGCGTCGATCGATCCACTCCCAAACTCTCTCTCTCTCTCTCTCTCTCTCTCTTCAGCATGTACATTTAGTACTGACTTCGTATACGTAGGTACCTAAAAGAGAATAGCTGATCGTTGCCGCGTGACAAGCCTCATTCCATCATCTCGCATCTTGTCTCCGCCCTAAAATGACAACAAGAGAAATAATTTGATGCAAGTTTGCATGCATGGATGGGTTACTCCCGCTCTGTGCGTGCTCGACCTGTCGCGATCCCCAAAAACTCCATAGGTAGCTTCGTTATATCCTCTCAATCCCCGTAGAATAGAACTAACCTAACTAACTAATTGCAAAAACGTCAAGGCGTCTTCCTCTGCCTTTTGAATTTGAATTAGCGGTCCGGCCCATTCCCGTCGGTGAAAAAAAAAACGTGTTTCGTTGGATTTAGCGTCCGGACCGTAACCTTAAACTAACTTAACCTTGTAGCCTCAACCGCGCAACCTCAATCTTAAACAATAATACCCCGTTTCTGTCGATACACATACCTACATACATACCTACATACCTACAGTGGATGGATGCTGGTGCATACTACGGAGTACGTAGTCCACTGATGTGATATGGCAAGGATGCTAAATAGCCTAGCAGCACCCTTGCATCTAAAACTGTCGCAAAATGCATGCGCCTCTGGACCATCGCAGATACAGCCTCCATCTGCAACCTCGAATCTCGACTCCAGAGCCAATGTCTGAGGACCGTAAAGGCTGTAATGCACTGTAGTGTGAGTTCTTGGCTTGTTACCTTTGTTGAGGCCTTGTTAATTTCCTCAAAGGGTCATTCTTGCGAGTCAATCATTGCACACCAGTCTCATCCATCTTTATCAATGAAAGTTGTCATTATAAGGCCAGACGGAAATCAAGAGAGTGGCATCCAACCACATCTAGCTAACCCATCCACCCTCCTATCCCCCATGCCATACCGTACCCTGGGGCTCTGCATTCCGTCAGATTTCATTAGGCGCTTCACTCCACCGTGGCCGTCGCGGATGCACCAGAGGGAAACCGGGTTGTCATTGAATAGATACCCTGCCAGTTAGGACCCAATCATGCATGTGACATGACTGTGTCTTGATCCTGTTAGCCTCGTATTCTCGACTTATCCCTCTGCCTCTGCGTCTCAGTGTCCTTGTGTCTCGACGCCATCCTCCCACCTGATGCTTCAGCCCCCACAACCCATCCATCGCCTTCTCCTGCAAGCTGGACTACTCACCAACTTCCCAGATAGATTTTGAAAGCCATTAGCCAGCCATATGGCCAAACATGAAGCCAAATATCCACAAGTCAACAGGCTGCCGTATCCTGCAACAAGAAGAGGACAGCAAAGGATAGGATGGAATAGGAAAGAAGCGAAATGACAAGAATTACATTCAGTTAAAAAAAGTTCCAAAAACAAAGTGAAGAAACCATGTGCCATAGGAAGTGAAAAAAATGCACCCTGGGTATCCTCCTTTCTTCCATTCGCCCCCAAAAACAGAAAGAGAGAGAAAGAAAACAAGATCAGCTGATCTCACGTTTTCATGTCTGTCCTGTTGTCTCATTTTGCTGCTGTTGCCATTGCCGCTATTGATGTTCTGCTCCTCGTACAATCTCTCTCACCATGCTGCTTTTGCTCGCCCATGAAATGTCAGTTAAAACTTGGCATCTAGTTTCTCCAGCTTCTTGTCGTACACGTCGTTATGATTCGCAGCTGTTCTGCCCGTCTTTGCGTATCCAAGGCCACTCTCCTCGCAAAGTACCAAAATGTTATCAAACGAAGGAGATCCTGGGGTTTGAACCCAAACTTATGCAATACCATGCCCGTGTTCTTGCTCCAGACTATGCCGATGCTTGTTTCGTGATTTTTTACCTTTATTTTCCTTCCACTTTTAGGTCACAGGCTGGACTCCGTAACGCCTTAGTATGGTCTGTGAACGCCGCCAACTTCGACACTGCAATGTTCGTAGCATCTCGTAGCAGCCAATCATGATGTCATGGTCATGTTGATGCCGGACGATGGGATGGGATAGTACCCGCTCGAGGTTGACTTGCCCTCGAAAGGTCCCGGCGGACGATCATTAATCTGAGCCGGTGGGTGGAAGATGCTGGGTAGAGAGGCGCCGTCGTAGTCATGCTTGATCTTGCCACTCATGTCCATCCCGGTGGCCATGTGCGGCACAACGTTATGATCGCGCTCCCCACGGGGGTTGAACAGCTCGATTCGGTCGCTCTGCGCCTCGTACATTGGGGCTGGGTAGTACTGGTACTCTCGCGTCGTGACGATGGCCTTGGAATCCTCCTGAGGAATCATAGACTCGTGCGGTATATCGTGATGACGGACCCCATAGAGGCTGCTGCGGGCGTCGAAACCACCTGTCGCGTAGCTTGGACCACCCATCATGGGATTGTTGAAGTCGGCCATGCCGCTGACGGTGTAGCCTCCCATGTTCCCCGATGATCCTCCAGGTCCACTGCTCTGGCTTCCGCGTCTGTCGTTTTGATAGTGGCCCGGCGAGCGGCCTCGGACGATCATCTTGGCCGACTTGCGTGTGGCTATCTTGACGTATTGATCACCACTGCTCTGATTAGCTACCTCGCCCCAGAGCTCGACAACCAGTTGGTAGTATTGCTGAGCAGCTCTGCGTTTCCCGTTGTTCTGGGTAGCTTGCTTGAACTGGATGCGCTCAAACGTGTGCTCTGTGGGTAACTGTTGGCTGCCGGGCTGATTGCTGAAATTGTCGGGGTAAACAGGACGATTGGGTACGACCGACTCTGAGAACATGCCCATATGGTGGTGGTGGCTTGCCTGTGGGGGCTTGTTGCTGAGCCGAACTTTTTCTGGCTTCATTATGGGCCCCTTGTCTCTCTTTGGCGTATGCTGTACCAGCTCAATGTTGTGCTGCTCATTATCGGAGACAACTGCGGAGATAGACATGGCGAATCCAAAGATCGGAACGGGTTGTGATGAACCACTAGCAGTGTACTGGATAGTGACGTTGGGAATGTGAGGGCTCAGAGAAAAGGA